ATTATACAAGCCTGCTCTGTACTATTATAAATCAGTTTATGAGGCCGTAATTGTCTGAACTATTTTTGAAATTGTGAAAACATCCTGGCGAATTGAATCTCGTGGGAAAGAATACTTTGTCGGACGAACAAGAACTGCCTGCCCTTGTAGAGTTTAATTAACAAGCTGATCTTGAGATAAGGTTGCCATATAGCTCCTGGCTTTGTTACTTGAGGTTGTGCTCCTCAATTTCCTTACTACAGAGAGCACTCTTGACATTGTAGTAGTGAGAGGAAGTCCTGAGTTTTTCTGAAATACATTTTCTTTTGCAACAGTTTGAAAAAAAAAAAGCTAAAAACAGGAAGCGTATAGTATTAAATGTTGAGGAAGTACCTCCCTTTACTTCTACACCAGGTGTGGATGATTTTTGTAGTGTTTATATTTTCTGCAAACTATCTGAATTCTATTGGGAATATCAGTAATACTTGGTTTTTCTTTTCTTTTGGTTTTGATTTTTAGCAGGTGGTGGAATCTCGGAGTTGTTATGAAAGCTTCCCTCCTCATTCCGTCTTTTTTCTTACTTTGACGTCATTACATAAAATACGGACTAATGTTAAATCAGATAATGGACTGCCTTCATGTGGGGAAAAAATATCTGACTGAACTGCCTGCATCTCCAGGGAACAATTTATGCAAATTATGGAAGAGGAACATTTTTGTCCCTAGACATTTCTTTTTACTAATAGAAAACAGACAAGGAAAGATTTTAATAAAATCTGATGGGAAAGAGCTGGTTTTTGCCCATAATCTTCTTGGAGTTCCCTAGAGTACAAAGTATGGAACAAGATAAGAAGTATGGTCATTGAGTCCTGGGTTACCTTATGTTACATGGCTTAATTCTTGAGAAAGAGAAATGCTGGAATCTTATTGAATTCCTTCAACAGGCTATTATTGCCTTATGACTGGCTAAATCAAATTACTCTGAGCCTTGTTGTTGTTTATTTCTCAATCGCATTGAATTGTAAATGCAGTTAGTCCTTAGCTTACTATCCTACAGCTATGATATATTGTAAATTGATCTAGTTTTCAAACGGGCTGTTGAAATCCAGATGTCTCTAATGTATAAGAACAAGAACTATTTTTCCAAGGGAGAAAAGGAGCATATAAAAAAGTAAGTAGACTGAGCAAAAAGTGTCTTGTTTCTTCTCACCATGTTTTAACCACATCCAGAGATGCTTGTTTCCCAAACCCTTCACGGTTCTAGGGAGAACAAACTTTACTAGACTCCATAGAGGAAGGGTATAAAAATGGAAAACACGGACTTATATTAAATGAATTCATTTTGTTCATATGCTCTGAAAACAATTTGAGGATATGAATGTTGATCCTGGGTCTATTTTACAAACAGGCCTTTCATTCAGGAGATATTTAAATGATGGCAGTGATGTCTTCAAAGTACAGCTAAAGGATATACAGGTGACTTACATACTTACATCTATCTATAGAATGGATGAAGGTATTTTAAATATGCCTTTTAGTTTGTTTTGTTTTCTGCATAATGTCTGTGGTATGTTTCTTCTAAATATATCCTGAGTTGAAATCTCATATTTTGTATATTATTATTTATGACATCCTTATTTCTAGAATTTTATGCAATATTCCCTTATATTATCTGGTTACCTTCAGAGCTTTCCAAGTGCATATGAAGAATAATAGAAAAGCTGTTGGATAATGACTGTTGTATCGTTTATGTGGTATTGTGAATTCAAATCAGATCTGTTTTCTACAGTTTAATGTGCGTTATTTTTCAGTTTTATATTATTATTTTTTGTTACTATTGTAGTTTGTACATAACCTGAAAAATAATTGCTTTTTAGCTACTGTAAAGTACTGTTGTGATGTTAGCGTCTCTAATTGTAAATAAAGAGGTACATTTTATTTCTTAAATGTAATCTGCTTTTTTTGTACTAGCTTTGTTCAAACAAGTTGTAGAATATTTTCTTCAATCTAGCTCTTAATTGATAAATCGATCGATTATGTGCCATCAAGTCACATTCAGCTTCTAACAAGCACATGCTATTATGGTAATTGGTGATGTACTCTGGTCATTTTAATTGAAGTGCAAACATTATTCTGAAGAAAACAATGGATTGTAACTGTCCTCTTTAGAACTGAGACAATGAAAAATATTGCAAGCTAAACAGTAGGAATTATCATAAGAAGCTTATCATGTAAGGCTATTGAATGTAATATAAAATTCTAATAAGAACAAAGAGGAAGAGTAATGAAGGACAGCTTCCATGATACATGTACTTTAATAACTTTTAATTTGAGCAAGATGTTTGTCATGCATGTAATGGGCCACTTCACACCACATCAGAATCATGCAGTGATTAGTAAAACAGTATTTTAACATCCAGGGATGATAAAAAGAATGACTCCCAACCCACAATTACTGAAACAATCTTCTATCATGAATTTCATTCTGAGACCATCACACAAAGCATCAGTTAATATGGAGCAGTAATATAATCTAAAGCAAGGGTGTTAAACTCGTGGGCCGGATGCGTGATGTGCTGGCCCCACCACTGCCCCTGCCCCCACCCAGTTTAGCGAAGGGGGAAAAGTCCCGATACATCATGTGATGACATGAGTTGACCCTGATCTAAAGTCTGACAGTGTTCACAAGCAGTGTTCCCTTTTCCCCAACACTATAAAAGATCAGTCAGCAAAGCCAATCCTGTTTTTTGCTATTTTTTTCTAGTATTGATGCCATAGTTCAGTAACTCCAAAAGCATTATGAGGAATTTAAGTGAATAATCTCTACTTCAGGAACTTGGGTTCGTTCACAATATTGCTCTCTACATTGCCAGTATTTTCAGTGTAACATGTAAGTCTTGTTTTAATGAGTTCATCTTATTACCACCACTTCCATTCATCTTACTGCTTTTGTACTGTCATTCTTTTTTGAGTTTTAAGTATGCACATATGGTGCATAGTACCACACAATTGCCATTGCAGTCCGGATGTACTAAGTGTGCAACTAATTCCTAACTAGGTATGTTGAATGACAGTTAAAGCATTTCTACTTATCCCACCACCATCTCTTGTTTAAGTCCAGCCCACTACAGTCATGCTGCTGAAATTCAGAAGAATATACAGTACTGCAATCAGCAGCAGGGTTGTTGGTCTTTAACAATTTTATAAAAGCTCCATGTACTCAAGGAAAAATAGGTTAAAATGATTTCCCTATACCATAACATTATTGCTTCACTGCCATAGTATTTGCAGCTACTGAACGACAAAACTGTTGTTGAAATTGCCATTCCTGAGTGAGAGCACTGCTGTGATTGGGAAAACGTGTTGGAAACTCAAAAATGCTCAAGATGGAAAAGGAAACAGTAAGACAACATCCTAGAAAGGTCAATTCTGGGTTTAAACCATTCTAGGCATTCAATTCCTTGGATATCATGCTCCAGACCTCCTTGGAGAAACAACGAATATTTGGTTTCTGCCTTGATAATTATGTACTCTTGTGATTCTTTTAATATATATATTTTAGGTACACAACAGATAAGTTTTGATTACTCATATTACCTTTCTGTAACTGGAAGCACTATTCAAACAATGACATGAGTACAATGCTTTGGCTTTTCAGTTGTATACAGTTTATTATAGAATGGTTCTTTGTGACATCACAATTTTAAAACTGACTACATTCTGCGATGGCATAAGTTGTTGAATGAGCGCCATGAAGAAAAGAGCCAGACAAATTTCTTTCTTAATAATTTATGCTTACCATGGAGAATAATAACAGTGCAATTTACCTCTTTCTAATACCCTTAATATAGGGTATATGTCTTTTTCATCACAAATATTTAAAAAGTTTTATGATTCCAAATGTTTGGAATTGGTTTAAATTTGAATATATAATGTGGATGTCAGCTTTAGGTAAGTATTGCTTCTGCTCTTCCCCTTGTCTGCATTTTCTACATTCACGGGTTTTGGAATAAAACTGTTTTTATGGGAAGGGAATTATGAAATAATAAATGGTAAATGCCTGTCAGTTACCCAACCCCGTCATTCTCTTAATGCCTTAAATCAGTAGTAGATTTTTTTTCCTTTTCCTCATGTATGAGATCTCTTATACCTGTGAAACTAAGCAGAACACTGCAGGTAGAGAATATTCATTGCCTACCAAGTTTCCTAGTCTCAATCCCTCAGGCAGTATTTTTTAAAATGTTTGAAATGGAAACTTTTATATAAATATTTAAATAAAATTATTCCCTTAGTAAAATATAAGAGGAATGTAATAAAGCTTCAACATAAGTATTGGTATTTTTCAAAAAGATTTGGCAAGTGATTGGAATGGTCTGTCTCAATTTAAGGCAACCTCGTTTGTTCACCAAATTGAGAAAACACATAATTATAGCATAAATTGGCATCAGTTTCTATATTTCTAGGCCAAACCAGAGAATTTTGAAGAAACAAAGGATTATGGCAGCCTGTTGTTGGAGCTTGCTAGTTCATAGGGTACTGATGCTAAGACCAGTATTAGTCCTGGTGTTAAAGCTGAGACACTGATACAGAGCAGTGCTTTCATGGCATATCTTGTTTATCATGACTTAAAATGTGTTAATAGTCTATTTAAAATCTGAGACAGAAAAGATGCACTTGCTGATGGTTGTCACTGGCTTTCCTGGTTTGGCTGCTTCAGGTATCACATGATCAATTAAAATATATTTGAAAATATGAAAAAAAGACAATATTTATGTGGAAGCTTATTACATTCCTCTTATATTTTACTAAGGGAATAATTTTATTTAAATATTTATAAAACTTTCCAGTTCAAGCATTTTTAAAATGTTCACAATAAATTGATTTTTTAATATACAATAGCAGTCATACTTCATCACCTGCAGACTGATGTTTTTAAAAACACCTTTTACCATGTTAATAAGCTTCTTTCTTTTGGCAGTACGTCGAAGAGCGGCCTTTGTGGATTTCTCATGTCGAGGGACTTCATTGATATTTTAAATGAATGACATTTAGGTCATTTGATCAGACAATGGAATGGATCCTAAAAGGACTCTTCAAGTGTGATAATGGCAGAAGCCTATTTTATTGTTAAATTGCTAGAATTTGCTTTCTGACTACCTGTTTCCATGGCTTCCATTGGAACAATTACCATTCCTGTCAAAATGAGAACTGCTACTGCCAGAGTTTCAATCAGTTCCACCAGCTGCAGCGTGACCTGTGGGATGGGTTACAAGGTTGAAGAAACATGTCAGATTGGGCCTAACGGTGAAAGGAGGTACTGCGATATTCGGAAAGTGGAGTGCTTGACCAACTGGCTTTGTGGGATGCTCCATTTCACTATTCTTGTAGGTAAGCCTTTTGAATTCCAGTGCTTGTCTCCTACAGAAATTGGGCCAGAAATCAAGAGCTTCAGTTATTCATGGAGGATAGCCAGAGGTATTATTACCACTGATGATGTTCTCTTTAAACCATTCAAGACTACTGGCTTTGTCATTAAGTTTTCCCCAGCCAAGGAATACGATGCAGGGACATACAGGTGTGATGTGCAGTTCATGAGATCCTATAAGATTGTCAAAAGAATCTACTTTGGAATTCGTGTGATCCCTGGTCACTTGGTGGATCTGAACTTTGACAAATCCTTGACTCTGGAACAGCACTTGGAAAGTGAGAAGGAAAAAAACCAGCAGAATGCCACCAGTGTTCCTGTGCAGAAGCAGCAGCACTTTGGGCGCCAAAGAACTCTGTTTGTATTTTTAATAGGCATTGGAAGTGGTATGGTAGGAGGCATCTTGTTGCACAATATTTTCTACTATTTAGTGAAAGTTCCCAATAGTGGATATGTGGAGGAATAAAAACATTTGTTTTTAAAGTCTTGCTCTATGCTGATTGCTGTATTTAATCATTTTGCAGTATTGTTTATGGTTATTAAGATTGGGTTGTGAAATCACATGGCTTCACTTAATTTATTTAGAAAGCAATAACATATGTTATTGCTTTCTAAATAATTAAGTGAAGCTTTATAACACTTCATAAAACTTTTTTAAAGACAGTACAAAACTTGTAAATCAGTACATCTTTGGATGTGAGGTTCAGTATATGCTTTCCATACAGAAAATCCTAAATTCAGTTTTCAGGTCTGGAAAGAATCCCTACAACACTGGAATATCTACCAAGCCAACGTAGATCAGTCTTTTTTAAAAAATATAATAAACTGATACTCTCCCAATATCCTGAGACCACAAATCTCAGAATTCCAGCAGGTTAGCCAACAACAACTACTACGCTCAGTAGGAATGGTACTCTCACCCAGTTTGGGAAGAACAGTGTGAGCTAGGATGAGCATTGAAGATGAGATTCAAACAACCCACTTCACATTCTAATGTAGCATTTCTCAGATTTGGCAACTTAAGACATGTGGACTTCAATTCCCAGAATTCCCCAGCAGATAAAGGGTGGGGGGGGACAATGGATTATGTTACTGTGACCGCATAATAAACATAGTATTCATAACTTCGGTTTCTGAATCTGATTTACCTCAAAGGCCTGGCATCAATCTTACAAGTCCCTCTGTTTATTTTCTAGGGAGTGAAGAAGAGTCAAATCCATGATCCTTTCTCTACTTACATTTCTGTCTTGAACTCCAATTTCTTTAAATGGACTATTGTCTTGGTTGTCTTGACTCTTGTTGGTGCTTGGGACATAACATCATTAAACACTTCCTACTGTTCCTCGTTGTTGCTTTCATTATTAGTTACTGAATCTGTGTTTAATGATAATGTTATGTCCCAGGTGTCAACGCATACGTATACATACATACATACATACATACATACATACATACATATATATGTGGATCTTTGGTTGTTCGGGTTTTCTCCCGCGTAAGATTCGAAGTATCTAGGCAATGTTTCGATGAAGTCTCATTCATCATCTTCAGGCTTCTGTCTTCGGCTCTTGCTTCTCAGAGTGATGTGAGATTGCAGCTGCTTCTTCCTTTTAACTGCTAGTGGGGGTGGGACTTGATTGGGTGGGGGCTTGGCTGTGTTCTGATTGGGTGGGGGTGTGTTCTCATTGGTAGGGGGTTTGGCTGTGTTCTGATTGGTTGGGGGCTTGGCCGTGTTCTGATTGGTTGGAGGCGTGTTCTGTTCAGGTGGGGGCTTGGTTGTGCTCAGGTTAGTCTTAGTTGCTGGGGGATTTGAGTTGGTGAGCTGTGATCTTGCTGTTTGGCTTCGAGTTTGTGGTCGTGCTGCATCTTCATAGTGGGTGTCGGTTTGCTTCATGTATGGCTCGGGGGTTTGAAGTGGGTAGTGATGCAGCTGCAGTGCGGCTTCTGGTCCATGGTCGTGTCTCATCTTCTGAGTGAGTGTGAGTCTGTTTTCTACATGGAAGTGTGGTGATGGCATCTTGTGTGGCTCTCATGGGTGTGGGTCTGATGTCATTCTTCATGTTAGGTACTGGTCTGTTCATGAGGGCGGGTTTCCAAATGGCTGGAAGGCGGGAGGTGTCATCTCGTTTGTTCATGCTGTGTGGGCGTTTTTCTATCTCTATGGCTTCTCTGATTATTCTGCTGTTGAAGTGTTCGGTTTTGGCGATAGTTCTGGTATTTTTAAAATCAATTTCATGTCCTGTGGCTTTGAGGTGTTGGACCAGGGAAGAGGTCGTTTCTTCTTTTTTGATTGAGTTCTTATGTTCTTCAATGCGTGCACTTATTCTTCTGTTAGTTTGTCCAATGTATGTGGTAGGGCAGGCAGTGCAGGGGATTTTGTATACTCCTTGGTTTTCTAATTCGATTTTGTCTTTGGGGTTTCTTAGGATGGTGGATATTTTTCTGTTTGTGCAGAATGCTGTTTTAATGTTGTGTTTTTGGAGGATCTTGCTGATTTTGTCTGTAGTGCCTTTTATATATGGGAGGAGGGCTTTGCCGTTTTCTTGTTCTCTGTCTTGGATTTTGGTTGGGGTTTCTTTTTGGATTAGGTGGGTAATCTTCTTTCTTTGGAATCCATTGGCTGTAAGTACGTTGGTGAGAGTGTGTAGTTCGGTTTTTTGGTGTTGTTCATCGGCTAAGCATTTTGTTCTGGAGATGAGTGTCTTGGCTACGGAATTGATCTGTGCTGGGTGGTGGTGTGAGAGTGCATGTAGATAGCGGTTTGTATGTGTTTTCTTCTGGTAGATGGTGTGTCCTAGGGAGCCATTGGATCTTTTGTATACCAAGACATCTAGGAAGGGAAGTTGATTGTTGGCTTCTGTTTCCATGGTGAATTGTATTTTGGGGTGTAGGCTGTTGAGGTGTGTGAGGAAGTTGTTCAGTTTTTCTTTCCCGTGTGGCCAGATTATGAAGGTGTCATCTACGTATCTGAGCCAGAGTTTGGGTTTGTGGTCGTATTTTTCTAGAGCTTGTGTTTCAAAGTGTTCCATGTAGAGGTTTGCGATGACAGGTGAGAGGGGTGATCCCATGGGTGCTCCTTCTATTTGTTTGTATTTTTGTCCATTGTAGGTGAAGTATGTATTGGATAGGCAGTGGTTGGTCAGATCTAGGATGTGCTTGAGGGGGGGTTGTATTTGTTTTGGATGGCTGTCAAGGCTTCTTTTATTGGCACTTGGGTGAAGAGGGATATGACATCGAAGCTTACTAGTAGGTCGCTGGGTTGTAAGTTTTGTTTCTTTATGATCTCGATGAACTGGAATGAGTTTCTTACGTGTGAGTTGATGGATTCTGCATAGGGTTGTAGTTGTTTGGTGAGAAATTTGGCCAGGTTTTGTAGAGGTGAGCCTATGGAGCTGACTATTGGTCTGAGTGGGGTTCCTTCTTTGTGTATCTTGGGGAGACCATAAAGCTTAGGGCATCCGGATGATTTCTCTCTGGGTATGATTCTTTGCTGGGTTTCTATATTTATATATATATATAAAGTTTTCTATATATCTATATATATATATATATAAAGGTTTCTATATTTATATATATATATATATAAAGTTTTCGCGGGTACTTACATGTATTCAGCTTTGTTCGGGTATTTTCCCACATCATTGTAGTTGTGCTTTAAGGTTGTAGCAATGTTTTGGCAGAATCTCATCTGCCATCATCAGGCTTCTGTAATTTCTGTAATTTTCTACAGAAGCCTGATGATGGCAGATGAGATTCTGCCGAAACATTGCTACAACTTTAAAAGCACAACTACAATGACGTGGGAAAATACCCGAACAAAGCCGAATGCCATACATGTAAGTACCCGCGAAAACTTAAGAATACACACACACACACACACACACACACACACACACGTATGTATGCATATATGTATACACATATTTCTTGAAAGTTTTAACTACAATACGTCGAACAAACTGTCAGAACAAAAAAGAGAAAAAGAAAAGTGCAAAAAAGAAAAAAAATAGAAGAGAAAGAAATAAGATGCAAAGCTCTAAAAAAGAGCTTCCAATCTTCTCAGCAGTTATATGTACAATTATATTTTAACCTGAGTTTACAACATAACTCTTCTATAATCTAAGCTGTAATGATTGAAAATATTTTCCCCAATGATTTCATTTTTAAAAATGTCTTGTTACTGAATCTTTCATTTGAAATCATAAGAATGAGAATTGGGGAATGTGAACTAACATATTGACATCTGAAGTGAAACAAGCACTCTTTATTTTCCTGTCAATTTTTGGGTTTGTAAGATGCACAGCCAACCCTGAGCTGAAGGCTTTTTAAAGGCTTAAGTCAGAATACACATACACACACCATATTAAATGTATACAAAAGTTCATATATCATTTCAAAATGGGCACAGAGATAGGAAACATTTGGCAATTTAAACCCTGAGATTAGAAAGAAGGAAGGTAACTTGCCCCATTTAATATTTGAGAAAGTGGGCAATTGGAATCAAGTTATTTCATTTCCATCATCTATTCAAATTGTGCTTCTATTTTTTAAAATAAAATCACATTTGTAGAAATTTGCTAGAGTGTTTGTAGAACTTTATTTAAGATTAGGTAAGACATGAAACCCCCTGTAGGACATATATGAGATGATCCTAACCAAATTGCTCAGACTGAAGAAGCTACTTAGGTAAGCAGTGAAACGTTTCAAACAAAAAAAAATCCAGTTGCCATGACTCAACTTCCAGACAATTCTATCTAGATGACTGAGAATCTTCATTGAAATAAGTGTTGTACATAAACATGACCAAAATAAAATTAAAATTAAAAAAAATCACACTAAACAATCCTTGATAAACCTAGTAACCTTAACCTGGTCATCAAATTCATACTGGTGACAAAAATGAAGTGGATGAGATTGTAATGGAATGAAATTGCCACATTTTCTTCTCTTAAAAATACATTTCTGATAATATTCAAAATCAGTCTTATCTGATTAGAGTATGTTCATGTCTTTAAAAAAGGGAATTTGGCCTTGGCCATAATCATGGGCAGCGCTGTGATTCAGTGGTTAAGATGCTGGACTTGTTGGCTGGAATGCTGGCAGCCCAGGTTCGAGATCCAAGCACCATGTGACGGGGTGAGCTCCTGTCCTCATCCCAGCACCTGCCAACCTAGCAGTTTGAAAGCATGCACATGTGACTAGATAATAGGGAAGGTAATAGTGCTTTGTGATGTCATGTCCACATGACCAAAGAAATGTCTTCGGACACTGAAACAGAGATGAGCACTGCTCCCTATAATCAAAAACTAGCAGAGTAAAATCTGCAGGGGCTCCTTTACCAATATAATATAATTGAAGGTTACATTTAGGAGCATGGTTAGGAGAGTTTGGAGCTTCTGAAGATGGGGAAAAGGTCTCTCTTGTCTTATATAGTCCCATTCTTGAATTTCTCCTGATTCCTCTGGAAATCTTTTCCAACATGGCACATTTGAAAAGGT